TTTGATGCTTTTGCATCGGATCATGTTGAGTTAAATTTTTTTGACATATTTGATTATTTGTTTGAAAATACTAATGTTCATGTTTCTAGCACATCTACTTCATATGCAGGTAAAGTAGCAGAAGATGAGAACAAGGAGAACACCACTGAACAAACCAACATCTCCTTGAGCTCTGAATCTGTTGCTTTGAACTCAACTGCTTCTGATCAACCTGCTGTTGAGAAATACAGACCACCAATTCCAGTGAAACAGAGTGCCTCCTGCAATTGTGCTTGTGGGAAAAACAAGAAACAAGGCAAAGATACGCCACCAGGGGCAGGAAGAAACAACTTCACAGTGAAGAAAAAGACATGTTTTCACTGTGGAACACCTGGTCACATTGCCCGAAATTGTCCTAATCGCGCATATGTTCCGTACTATGCACAAGGCTGGCAGAACGCGCCAAGAGGGAGATACTTCAAAAGAAACCCCTCAAGGTCACGTTCAGACAATGATGACTGGAATGCGCAGAAGAGCAAGAATCAAACTCCAAAGGACAAGAATCAAAATCCCAAAGTCAAGAAGGAAATGCCGGCCAAGAAGCCAAATCCAAGAGATGCTCCCATGAAGCCAAAATCAAAGTCATCTCAACGGCCGACATCAAGTTCAAAATCAAGTACCGAGCCACCCATCAGATCGAAAAAGAAATGGGTTAAACCCAACTACAAATGGGTTCCAAAGGCTCACTCTCCCAAATCTTCTAACGATTCTAATATTTCTACATCTTCTGTTTGTGATAAGCAGGACATGTCATGGGAGAGAGTACTATGCAAGGATGACAAAGGTCGACCCAGTTTCAAAATGGACTGGGTTCCAAAGACCAACTAATCCCGCTCTGTGTCGGAGCAGCTATGGAGGCATATCATCAGACTTCGGTTTGTTGGTAGTGGCTGTTCCAGGCACATGATAGGAGGCATCTCTCAACTGTACAACACTCAGAACATTGTTTGAGAGTATGTGTCCTTTGCGGGAAGGGAAGAAAGGAAGGGATCACTCATGGGGTTAGTGCTTAACGATGTGAAGAATTTTTGGATCTGTTCTGAGATTACACGTGCTGTTCTCAGACCTTCTGGATGCAAATTCAATCGGTGACTTACGGAATTTATAGACTTAACAAATTTTGACCTAGTTAAATCCGTTTAGCCTGACAATACGACGCTCGGATAGGTTGAGCAGGGAGATAAACACGGGAATCTACTGGTTACATTAAAGAACCTGTACTTGGAACCGTGGATTAACTTTTCCTCGATGTGCGGATTCTGTCCTTAATTCCGGTATTGATGGGGTGACTGGTGAATTCCGATGAATTAGGTCTGTAGAAAATTGTTTTCTTTCTCTATCTGTCTGTTAGTCATATGTTACCTCCTCTGTGTGACTCAAAATCCGACCTGGAATGTAGCATATGCAACTCTATCTCTCTGCATCCTCCATCTATGCAATTCTTTCTGTCTGTTAGCCATATACTGTCTCCTTTGCGTGACTCACAATCCGACCTGGTACACAGTATATGCATCATTCTTTTTCTCAATCCCTCTAAAACTTCAGTTAGTCATATGTTTCACCCTCTGCGAGATTGGAAGAGATCCGACCTGGGTGTATAGCATATGCATTCTAAATCTATCTTCTCTCTTAATAATTGTCTGCTCACCCAATGTAAGGAGTATTCTGGAAGTCCTTGATTACTGGAGCATATCAGGAAGCGGGAAACATGTTCTGATACAACTAAAACTGAACACTTACAGGTTGTCTGTAGATCTCGCTGCTCAATTTAGGTGGACAACAATATCCCTGGTCGTTGTCAGCTGAATGGTCCTTAAGAAATATTATCTAGGAACTTAGGATCACTTTGTCTTATAATTAATAGTATGTCCTAATTTTGTCACAATTTTTCGTGTTTAAGTGGACCACAATACTGGCGATCGACCAGACAAAGACGTGCAGATAAAAGGTACCGACAAGCAGATAAAGGCTGTCTAAAAACTTTGATCCCAAATCATTCTTAAAGTTAGATATCATTTTATTTTTGTTAAATTTGTTCATAGTTTCTTCTAATTTAAATATTAAGGGAGAATTAAAAATTTTAAAAACCAAACAAAAATCAGAAAATAAAAAAAAATCCAAAAATAGTGTTATTTCTGTTTTATTTCTTTTTCAGAAAATATGAAAAATCCAAAAAAAAATATTGTGTGCTAAATTTTTCTTTTAGTTTTGTTTTGTCTTGAATAGTGAATTCAGGTGAAGATGAAACTCATGGAGTTTGTGTCGAAGATTTCTGAGCCAAGGCTTCATCCGTGATCATCGAAGAATTCTCATTCGAAGGAGCAAGAAATGAAGATTATTCTTTCGACATTCAATCTTTCAACCCCAGAAGCAAGGTGAAGCTGACTTGAAGATTATGTGACAGATTGCATTGAAGCCTCCTCAATTAATTTGCTGCTATCTTGTACCTGCTGAAGTGATCCAAAAGATTAGTTCTCTCTGATGTTCTCTCTGAAGATTCTCAAACTGAAAGCATTATCTTTCAAGAATCAGTACAAAAAGCCTCCTCACCCAATGTGCGTTCAATGCCAAATTCTGAAGAAATGCCCAACTGCTCAAGATGAAGTCAATTATTGAAGATGCATCATGTTCATCTTGAAGCTGTGAAGAATTCGAAGATTAAAGCTGAAGCCAAAGCTCCCAATGAAGATTATCAAGAAAGCTAGCTACTTTTTAGGGGGAGCTTGTTGGGTCATTTAAGAAAAGAAAAGAAAGCTATAAACCAAGGGGGAGATTGTTGGGTCAAAAAATATGGTTTATACTTTGCTTTTCCCGGAAAATGTATTTTTGTGTCTTGGACCGTAAACAGCTTGGTGTTTACGGTCGTATACGTGTTTACGGTTGTGTTTACGGCCGTAAACAGGTTTACGGCCGTAAACCCATTTACGGCCCATGTTCACCAAGCCCATGTTTCTTATGTATAAATATAGGTGTAAGGGGTGAGGAGTAGAGGGATGAACACATAGAATAGAGGAGCTTAAGTGTGTGCATTTGAAGGTGTTCTAGAGAGAGAAACTAGAGAAAAGAACAAGTGTGTGTGAATCTCATGTAAAGGATCATCATTCTATTCATTAATACATTGAGATTCACATTATTCTTCTTCTCCTTCTCTTCTATATGATCTGACATCATCCGTTTGATTGAGATTCCGCACCATCAAACGGATCTGATTGATACACAAGCAGATTAGGGACTTAAAAGAGGACACGTGTCCGTTTAAACACTCTTTTATTAAGAATTAGACGAATGCCCGCGCGTTGCGCAGAATCACTTATATAGTTGAAATCTTTACAATATTGTTTTCTTAAATATAAAAATAACATTGTTGTTAAATTTGATATAATAATTCGTATACTAAGTTGATATAATATATTGATTATTTTGAATTATATGATAATATATACATCTATTAAAACTGCATAATCTCAATCGTTTGAATGACCTCTATCTGCGAGTTACTAATGAATAAAATTAAATATAATATATGGTTTAATGTTATTTATAGTTGTTGTTACCGTTAATTAATTTTTTAAAATTTATTTGCTTAACGCTTTAATTTCTATTATTGTGATTATTTAAAACATCAAACATTGTTTTTGTTTTTAAAAGTAACAATATATATAATAATTTATATAGTGTTATTTTTAACTATTTTTATTGTAAGTTATTTTAAACTAGTTATTTTGAAAACTTTTAATGATTATACAAATATCTTTAGGAAATATTTTAGTTCATTTGAGACTACAATTTAGTTTTTGCATTTAACATTACAATTTATCACTTTTAACTATTTACAAAATATTCTTTGGGTTTTTTTAAGTTAAACTGAAATTAATATTTAAGTTGGCTCTGTAATGTTATATTTAAAATTAACAATTTAAGTATTTATCCAAACTGTTCAAAAGTTGTGGCTTTAAAATGATAATGGTTACATACAACAACATATTAAAACTAATAAATTAAGTATAATATGTTAAAAGTTAAACTTTATAAGTAAAAGTAAAGATATTATTTTAATATTAAAATTTAGTTTATATATGATTACACTTTAGGTTTGAAATTTAGTTTATATATGATTACACTTTAAGTTAAGTTGATATTTAAGTTGATCTTGTAAGGTTATATTTAAATTAACAATTTGAGTATTTTATACAAATTGTTCAAAAGTTGTAGCTTTTAAAATGATAATGGTTTACATACAACAACATATTAGACCTATTAAATTAAGTATAATATGTTAAAAGTTAAAAAACATAACTTTATAAGTAGAAGAAAATATATTATTTTAATATTGAAATTTAGTTTATATATGATTACACTTTAGGTGTGATATTTATTTAACCTTATTAACCAACTTATAATTATTATTATTAGAAAGAAATTGAAAAGTAATGAGAGTTTCAAATCAATGTGGTAAAAGGAAAAATGAATGGAAGTTTCAAAATGAATGTGATAAAAGGAAAAATGTTTCATTTATAATATAATATTATAGAGATTTGTTAATTGTTTAAATTTGCCCTTTCGATTTTTTTAATTAATAAAATCCTAGATAATACTATAGGTCAGAATTCGTTTTCACTATTCACACATTTATTTGAACCGTGAAGATAATATGCTATAAATCGTAAAAAACAATTTCCATCACGACTTTGTTATTTAAAGTAAATTCCATTAAGTTATTAAATTTAATATGCTTTCTATTCTATATTTAACGGTAGATATAGCGATAGTAATTATTACATCAAGATAAGTGGCATGGTTCACGGTTCACCTATATATATACACTTATATCCATACTAATTCTACACAATCCCACAACAAAAGAAACAAAACGCCTAGGTTTCTTCAAGTATCTAGTCATTGTCCCCCAAACATAAAGAACCAGAGATTAAAATTAAGTAGCATTCATAGACTGAGAAAAAATGTTGTCAAAAAAAGCTTCATGCGATTCGCATGGAGAAGACTCGTCGTATTTTGTTGGGTTACAAGAATACGAGAAGAACCCTTACGATCATGTTCATAACCCTTCTGGTATCATCCAAATGGGTCTTGCCGAAAATCAGGTCTTCTTTACTTAAACTGTATAGTTTTTTGTTCCACGTATGTATTATTGTACATGAACTAATGAAGGTCGTAGGCATGCATGATAGATAATAATCTGAAGTATGGTTCACAATGATGGTTGGATAAAGAAAGTACGTTGGCCAATCTCCATTAATCTATTATGGTTTTAAAATGACATTTGGGTTTCCGTCAAAGATTTTATTAACATTAAAAACAATATTCTTTATGTATATGCAGTATGTGTGTATATATACATGCATGTAGATCATTTTATTAACAATAAAAAACTTATGATTACTCTGAATAATAATGCAGTTGTCGATGGATCTTCTTGAATCATGGCTAGCAAAGAACTCAGATGTTACTGGATTCAAAGAAAAAGAAGGTTCCATATTTAAGGACTTGGCTCGGTTTCAAGATTATCACGGATTGCCAACTTTCAAGAAAGTACGTCTCTCTCTCTCTCTCTCTCTCTCTCTCTCTCTATATATATATATATATATATATATATATATATATATATATATATATATATATATACACACGAATGTGTTTGTTCGGCAAAACTAGTTGATAGTGTTTTGTTAAACGTTACGTGACGTAACTTTTAGATTTAGAACGTTTTGTTTACAATGAACGTTAAAAACATGTAGTGTCATTTTTTTTTTTTTCAAAACGGACCGTTTTGTCAAATGTTAAAAACTATATATATATATATATATATATTTAGTTTTTTCTACTTTTGATTCAGGAATTAGCAGAATTCATGGAAGAAATCAGAGGGAAGAGAGTAAGAATGGATCCAAACAAGATTGTTCTTACTGCTGGTTCAACTTCTGCAAACGAGACCCTAATGTTTTGCCTTGCTGAACCTGGTGAATGTTTCCTTATCCCCACACCATATTACCCAGGGTAATCACACTTATATACATCTTTTGAAACAAATAGTCACTTATTGAAGTTTGATGCCATATTCTCCAACATTAACTCCACATGCAAATATATACAACAGTGATTTTTATATAGCATTAACTTATTTTCCAACAATAATACATAATTATTTTTTAATATTTTAATAGCATTTTTCTTAACATTGATCACACATATACGATGTTTGAATCCTCAAGTCTTTTTGATTAAAATGTTCATTCCAACATGACCAGACCCTTTTGTATATTGTTTTTATTATTATACAACTTGGTTGAACTACATATAATTCATTACTACTTGATAAGATATGTTGTGTAAATTTATATTTTATTTTTTATATTAAATGTTTTAGCAGTTTATGAAATCAAATTTGTTGCGTGTTGTAACATAAATAGTGTAACATGTGTCACCGTCCATCAACATCAAACTATTTTGGGTTTTAGAGTGTTGTCGGATAAGATTTCATTTTGTTACTCTACAAGTATGGCCGGAGATAATTTAACGTCGACATGGGCATGTGTTTTCTTTGTAGATACGACAGAGATTTAAAGTGGCGAACGGGGGTCGAAATCGTTCCCATCAAGTGTTGGAGCTCAAACCAATTCAGAATCACCAAGTCTGCCTTAGAAGAAGCATACAAGCAAGCACACAACCAACTTAATCTAAACGTAAAAGGGGTTTTCATCACAAACCCTTCAAACCCTTTGGGCACAACCATGAGCAAACAAGAATTTGATATCGTTATTAACTTCTGCATGACGAAATCAATCCATATTATAAGTGACGAAATATTTTCCGCAACTGTTTTCACCTCTCCAAACTTCATAAGCATACTTGATGTATTACATCAACGAAACCTCCAAGATTTTGGGAATTTTGTTCATGTTGTTTATAGTCTCTCCAAAGATTTAGGACTCTCAGGGTTTCGAATTGGGATGATTTATTCGTACAATGAAAAGGTCATATCTGCAGCAACCAAAATGTCTAGCTTTGGGCTCATCTCATCCCAAACTCAACATCTTGTCTCCAAGATTCTCGGTGACAAGAAATTCATGAAATGTTACATGAAAGAAAACGCAAAACGCCTAAAAAGAAGACACAAAATGGTGGTTTCAAAGTTGAAAATGATCGGGATTCCATGTTTGAGAAGCAATGCCGGATTGTTTTGTTGGGTGGATCTGAGGCATTTGTTAAGCTCCAACACATTTGAGGCCGAATTCGTGCTATGGAACAAGATTCTTTTTGATATTAAGTTGAATATCTCTCCAGGAGCTTCTTGTCATTGTAGCGAACCTGGGTGGTTTCGGATATGTTTCGCAAACTTATCAGAAGAAATGTTATGTGTTTCAATGCAAAGGATGAAGGTCTTTGTGGAGACCTTTTGTGGACATAGACGTTATGAGAGCTCAACTTGTATTTCAAGAAAATCTTTGGGTTTAAAGTGGGTATTTGGGTTATCTTCGTTTGATTCTGGGACAGATCGTTAGATGTATATGATTGCTTTAGCCCTCTTGGCATAGAATAAAAGATATATGATTGCTTTAGCCCTCTTCGCATAGAATAGTTAGTCCCAAAGTGTTATCTTTGTAGAAACATGCAATGACAGCCGTATCTATAAATGATATTGTGCTCTAGGGTAAGCGTAAGGTGTTTGTAAAAAGACCCTACTTGTAAACGTTTTTGTTTTCAATTTTTGTAAGAAAATGTTATTGTTGTAAACTGTAATACTTTGATTTTGGATGGTAGTTTCTGTAATATATCAAACATGATGGGCTTTTTTTGGTTGTTATGTTCCTGATCTGATGTGTTCATGGACAGCCAATGATATTCGAACGTTATTACGATTCCCCGCGATTTTCTTGTTTCGTTAATAGTTCTCAATTTTTCTCTTTTGGGGTTTCCGCTGTAGATTAACAACGGAAATTAACAAATCCTTGACCCCAATTCCCTTTTCCGTATGTTCTTGTTCTCCTTCGATTTCTTGCATAATTTGTTTCCAGTTTTGCTTTTTCCAAAGCAATAGCAATTTCATGGGATTTTGAGTTTCTTTGAAATCATTAATCCCTGTTTTCTCTTTTAAACAATCGCAATCAATCTTTTTCCCTGGATTTGAAGTTAGGACGACCCAACAGGAAGCTCAAAGGAAATTGTGGTTAAATTCGACCTGATTCTTTTTGTTGTTTTTCTCATGCATGTAATCAATCGCTTCCTTTCAGGTATGAGGCTATGAATTCCATTTTATATCCATTGCATTTTCTTCTGAATATTGTTTCCTTCGAAAATTTTTTGTATTTAACATGCATTAGTTGCTTGCTATTTCGAAATTTATGGTGGCGAAAAAGTTTGAATTGGGTTTGATATAATTAAGAAACTGTAAGTAAGTTGGATAAAGGTAGAATTTGATTGTGAAACTCGACTTCTGATTTTGTGTTTCAGATTTCTATTAATATTGTTTTTTTTTTTTCTCTCAAGATTGTTTCTAGCTTGAATCAACTGGTTCAAGATGCTAATATAACGCTCATGTTTTCCCCTTGACTAATAAGTTTTTAGGTTCTTCAAAAATTTTAAGAGATATTATCACGTCAAATAACTAACGGTTGACTATTTTATGTTCATGACACTCAATTGTGCTTTTTTGATGATAAATGAAGAATTCCAATGTGAATTACGGGTTGTTTCTTTTTTTATTTAATGAGCTTAATAACTTAAACACTTAATCTTTATTAAGACATTAACCCTTTACTTATCTTTATTTCTTCCGTTTTTCCAAAATGTAAAGGTAAAATGTTCATTTAGTCTCTTTCATTTACGCATACAAGATTTAGTATAATGGAAAAAAAGAAACCTTGTGGGCATGCCCATATGTGTACATCTGATTTAACCTCACATGATGTGCTAAGGGGTTGTTGTAAGTTTATAACTTTTTGTGAATCTGACATGGATGTTTTGTAGGCATGAGCAGAAATTCGATATAAAAAAAAAAGTTGGATTTGGAAGCTTTCCCTTTGATGTTAGTTGATTGGTTTAAGAAACAAGAGTGAGGAGATGATCTTACCAGCTTTACTGACTTCTGCTGGTTTCAATATCGTGATTTGTGTGGGATTTTTCTCGCTATATTCGATATTGAGAAAGCAACCGATTAATTTAAAAGTATACTTTGGGCAGAGGCTTGCACAGCTGAAGCCAGAACAAAAGACTTATTATTTTGGTCAGAGACTTGTCCCATCTGCAGGCTGGTTGGTTAAGGCATGGGAAGCATCAGATGATGACATCTATCGTTGTGGTGGTATCGATGGCCTTGTTTTCATCAAGATGATTGTTTTTAGGTCATATTATATTTCTTAATTATTCTGGTTTTAATATCTTCAAGTTTTTATCTTGTTATTAAAGTTTTCCATGAAATTGTTGCAGCATACGCATTTTTTCTATTGCTTCTGTTCTTTGCATCTTTATCGTGCTTCCAGTAAACTTGTTTGGGCAAGCGATACAAGAGAGGGATGCCGAAGCACAGATGGACATGTTCACTATTAGAAATGTCCAAGCAGGTTCAAAAGGGTATGCTTTATCAATCTATATAAAAATATAATTAAACATACCCATGATTTTCTTAACTTATGTTTTTATTTTTTTCTTAGGCTGTGGGCTCATTTCTTCGCGCTCTATGTTGTATCTATCTGTGCTTACGTTCTTCTATACATTGTAAGAATGGTGACTAGAGTAGAGACTCTGGTTTTGTGACATTTTTATATAGTGATTAAAAAGATAAGAATTTGGTATAGGAGTTTAAGAGTGTAGCACGGTTGAGGCTGGAGCAAGTAATCCGGTTTCCAACAAAGCCAAGTCACTTTACAGTTCTTGTTCGGGGTATCCCATGGTGTCCTGGAGAAGCATACAGTGATACTGTAAGCAAGCACTTTGGGAGTTATTACGAATCAAGTTACCTGGCACACCAAATGGTTTATCGATCTGGTACAATTCAGAGATTGATGGTAAGAATAAAGTTTCACAATTTTCTCTATATATGTCGACCACTTTGACCTGCTATACGAAAATTTTGTCAAAGTTTGGTCGCTTTAGTGAAAATTTTGACACTAAATTTTCTATTGTGACCTCTGTAACCTGCTATAGAGCATTACAATAGGTCATAGCAGGTCAAAGTGGTGAACATGTAAAAAATTGTAAAACTTAGGTGGCTTTCATTGATGAAATTGAAATATAGTAAAAATGGCCAAAATATAATGGGTTTTATGTATTTTGCCCTTTTATCTTAGTGGTGATGTTTGACCTATAGCTTGTTGATGTAGATGGATGCAGAGAAGATGTATAATGACCTAGCTAGTGGTCAACAAACTTCTACAGACGGAACGGGAACGGGAACGGGAACGGGAACAGGAGCAGGGTGTGACACTTGTGGAGAACGTGTAAACTCCGTTAAAATGATTGCTGCTGAAACAGAAATTGATGTCAAGAAACATAAGACTCCAAAAAAATCAGATGGGAAAGAGGTCAGAATTTTTGAATTATCTTATGTTTTAATGCTATTTCTGTTGATTTTTATCCTCTTTTAGTACTTGCTAGTTTAAACTGAAGAAAACTGATGCAAACCAGAAAAAAAAAAGGCAAAGAAAAACCAGAAAAGGTGCCTGTAATTCGAGACGTCCCAAAGTCCGAAGACTCAAAATGTTTATTCCATAATCATAAAAAGGATCCAAAGTGCATACTTATAATGTTTGTCAAGTCGTACTTTACCAAAACTAAAAACCTACCAAAATAAAAAGATACTAACTGTTGAGGAAATCCTATTTTTAATTAAATATAAAAAAAAGATTTCCTAACATGTGCCTTAAGGGCACAAATAAGAAACATTAATTATGAGAAATATTACCAAAATGTGAAATATATTAATTATACAAAATATATCTCATTAAAAAATATAAAATACATTAATTATGAAGAATATTCATATAATTAATGCATCACACATTTAATTATAGTAATATTTTCCATAATTAATGCTTCTTATATATGCCCTTATTTGTGGCGTTGATAAACATGACCAAAACGACTTGTCCCATCAAAAAGATGTTTCGTTAGGTTACAATCTGAACATGTTTTTAGGGCTAGTTTTTTATGATGAGAATGAGGATGAGGAGGGCATTCTTGTCTTTTTTAATAGATGAGAGATCTTCGGTGAGTACCTGTCCCACCTTTTAGGGTGAGACAAAAAATGCAAATTCTGTCCTATTGACATCAGCCCAGGTCCAAGTCCAATGAATGCCAAATGCATTACAACTTGTTTTGTTTTGTTCAGTTCTATTCTTTAAATGCAAAATTGACAAAAACTGTTTTAGTTGTAGAGTAAGGTTTTCAGACCTTCCAAAGATTTACAAAAATAAAATAAAATAAAATATCACAGCTAAAAAGCTAAAACATCGATATTAATTATGTATCTTGGAAGATATGCTAGCTAGGTCTGAATTTTCAAAATTGAAAGTGAACTTAATTACCGGTAGGAAGCATTATATATTTAGTTTTGAGATGAAAAGAAATATAACGAATTTCTTCGGTTACTTATCGCTTCTTGAAAATCTCTGTATTTTCATTATACATTTAAATATAATGGTAAACCTAAAAAAGCAACATAGGGCTATATGCAAGAAATAGCGATGTACATTCATTTAATCATGTTTTGTAGCATCCTACTATCATTTCTTTCTATTACAACATTGTACCTTCAGTTTTTTCTCTATTAAGACATCATTATACTTGGAAAAATCTTAAAATCGTATCATTGTACTTTAAATTTTGTTCTTATGTGGACATTACACTTTGAATTTCTACCTAATTATAGCAGTGAAAATTGCTTTGTATTTTGGTGACATTAACTAGGTAGATTCTTTAAAGTACAATATTGTATTAAGAAGACACAGAATTAGGATGTTATAATGAAAATATCAATGAAATTACGTTGTTATTTCTTTGCATTTACCCCTAGTAACATATCTCTTACTGTACCTCGTTTATTGGATTATCTTTTTTTAAGGCTAAGTGCAAGAAACAGCAACGTACTTCCATTTATCTGTGTATTATAGCTTCCTAGTTCCATTTCTTTTATCAGAACATTATACTTTCATATCTTTTCTGATGAAGGTATTGTACTTTGATAAATCTATCTAACTATTGCATTGTACTTTCAATTTTTCTCTTATTATCACATTTTAATTTGAAAAATCTACCCAATTATAGTAGTGAAAGTTGCTTTGTATATGGACGATGTTGCTTTACATGGGTAGATTTTTAAAAGTAAAGTGTTGTAAAAGGAAAAAAAATTGAAGTAGGGTGCTATAATAAACAAATCAATGAAAGTATATTGCTATATCTTGAATTTTACCCTTATTCTTTTGGACGAGTTCTTTTTTTCAATGTAAGTAATAACAATATGCGTACATTACTCGTTTATTATAACATGTTACCTTCATTTTTTCCTATCATAAATTCTTACTTCGAATAATCGACCAAAGTATAGCAATGCCATTATAATATAGAGCAGTAATTTCTCCTATAATCAGGTAAATTGTTCGAAGTATAATGTCCTAATAAATAAAATTTAAAGTGGCCAGATTTTACAATACAATGCCTTACTAAGGAAATGGTAAGCACCTTGATTCTCACAATTACCGAAACAATAGAACAGTAGAATGTATAAGGGAAACACTCAAAGATAGATAGTTCCAATCATTGGGCTCTCCAAGAATTCAATTCTTTAATATTATTCTTTGCCCTTCTAGAACAAGCAAAACGGATATAAATACTAGAAAGGGTGCCACCTCACCAAACCAGACCAAACCAAAAAGGTGGTTTCCCACTGCTACACTGACCAACACAAAATGGTGAGGGCACTACCTTAACAGCTAAACAAAATAATAAAAGACAAAAGCTTAAAAAGTAAATTGGACTTCATTTGAATGGAATTACCGGGCTGCATCCCTCTTGGGCTTCTTGTTCTTCCTTTTGTAGACTAGAAAGGTTTGGGGCTTATCAACACCGGCGGCGCAAACTCTCACCTTGTCCTCAAGGTGAAAAGTCGGAAATAAAGTTGGAAATTGCTGGTCCATCCTCTCCCAATCCTCCTAGGTGGCATCATCATACTCGGTCAAGCCTTGTCATTGAATTAGAACCTCCTTTTCATTCGATGAGCTTCCCGTAGAAGGCCTTACCTTTTCATTGCTTCTGGTTGCACCAATAGATGCATATCTTCTTTGAGCTGGAATAGTAATTTTGTTGGTTTGTTCACCGTTCCATATGCTTGACGTAATTGCGACACGTGGAAGGTGGGGTGTATGAGAGCTGAAAGGGGTAATTCGAGTGTGTACGCCACCTTCCCCACCTTCTTCTGAATTCAATAAGGGTCATAGTAGCGGGTAACTAGTTTTTTAAATTTTCTTTTTTCCAAACTTTGTTGTCGATAAGGATTTAGCTTCAAATAAACCCAATCTCCTTCTTGATAGTGCACTTCTTTCCTTTTCTTATCAACTTGTTGTTGCATTTCTGTTGAGCTCTCAGTAAATTCATTCACAAATCATCCAGGATGGCGTCTCTGTCTTCCAGCAAAACATCAATCGCATCGATAGGGGTTTGTTGACCTTCATATCGAATGATGGGTGGGGGGTCTCGCCCATAAAGTGCTCGGAATGGGGTACATTTTGTAGCCGGATGAAATGAAGAATTATGCCCAATCTAACCATCTTGACCATTGCTTGGGCTTTTCACAACAAAAGCACCTTAGATACATTTCCAAACACCTATTCACCACCTCCGATCAGCCGTTCGTTTGAGGATGGTAAGTTGTGCTTCATTTCAAGTTCACTACATGCAATTTGAACAATTCCGTCCAGAAGTGGCTCAAGAAGATTCGATCCCGATTACTGATTATCGAAAGGGGAAACCTATGAAGACGGACTACTTCTTTAACAAAACAGTGTGCAATGCACAGTGGCTGCTGTGAATGGATGTTTTAGGGGGACGAAATGGACATATTTTGTGAGCTTGTCGACCACGACCCATATGGTGTCCCACCCATCAGATTTCAGCAGCCCTTCAATGAAATCCATTGTGATTTCATCCCAAGATTGGGTAGGTAGGGGAATGGGTTCCAACAAGCCAGCTGAGGAGGTCACGAGGGTCTTGTTATGTTGACATGTTTGGCATGACATGATTGATGATGTCGCTCTTTATTCCAGTCTGCAATTTCTCTTTGATAAGTCTTTTTCTCCCCTGCATTTCCTTGCATGGGTGTGTTGTGAAATTCACTGATGATATCAGTCTTAATCTTAAGGGTGGATTTGGCGGGAATGACCAATCTACCCTTATAGAGTAAATTATCCCTAAAGATGGCAAAGTCTTTGTGAGTGGTTGGGTCCAATAGCAACTCTCAGTTAATTTTCTGTAGCAGCTCATCATTCTTGATTTCTTCCTTCAGTTTTTCCCAAGAGCTCAACACCCCGATGCTGAGAGTGTTACAGTTCACACAGGTGCATCCTTTCGTGAACCCCATGATCTTGGAGACCCATATTTGGTAATCTTGCCCAATCACCCGTTGTTCCAACAAGTACTTTAGGCTGATCTCATCCGTTCGGACAATGAATTTCCATCCCATCAAGTAATACCTCAACTTTAGCAAAGCTTTAATGATGGCCATGAGTTCCTTTTTATATATGGACTTCAACTGTGCTTGTGGTCCCAAGGTGAAACTGTAATCAGCGGTTCTTGTCTTGCATTAAGACGACTCCAAGACCAAAACTCGATGCATCTGTTTCCACCACGAAGGTCTTCTTGAAATCAGGCATGGCGAGAGCAGGGACTGTAGTCATTGCGACCTTCAGTTATTGGAAAGCTTTTTCTGCTGCCTCATTCCACCCAAACTTATCCTTCTTCAGTTGCTCTGTCAATGGAAATGCGATTCCTGCATATCCCTTAATGAATTTCCGATAGTAGCCTGTTAGACCCAAAAAACCGCTCACTTCCTTTATGTTTTTCGGAGATGGCCAATCATGTATCTTGGAGTCCTCCGCTTTCACTCCTTCTGATGAAATCTCATGCCCCAAGTATGACAATCTTGTTTGCCTTAAGATTCAAGTAGAGTTGGTGTTGTTCCAACTTCTCTAAGGCCATAGTTAGATGATACACGTAAGTCTCTACCGAGGGGCTGTATATGAGGATATCATCGAAAAACACGAGGATGAACTTACGAAGGTACGACGTACCAGGGGCGTTAGAAAGGCCAAAGGGCATTACTTTGAACTCGTAGTGCTCGTCGTGAGTCCGGAAGGCTGTTTTGTGAACATCGGCAGCCTTCACTCTGATTTGGTGGTATCTCGAGCGTAAGTCCAACTATGCTGAAGACCATCGACCCATGTAGCTCATCCAGAAGTTCGTCAATCACAAGAATTGGGAACCGGTCAGGTACTGTGGATCGGTTCAAGGCTCGGTAATCCACACAAAAACGCCACGAGCCGTTCTTCTTTTTCACGAGTATAACCGGGCTGGAATAGGGACTGGTACTAGCTTGAATTATTCCAGCCGACAACATCTCGCGAATCATACGTTCTATTTCTTATTTTTGATAATGGGAGTAGCGATAAGGACAGACATTAATCGGAGGAGTACCTTCTTAGAGAATGATTGTGTGCTCAATGTCTCTTCTAGGGGGCATTCATCTTATGGAAACGATGTAGAAGATGGTTAAGAAAAGTTGGAACCTCCTTACCGGATGTTACATGGACTTCTGAGTTGCACAGTTCCACCACGTACCCTTCACTCTTGTGTTTAAGTTCCCTCTCTATAGACCTCAGAGATAGTAGGGATTTTCCTAGTGATGGGTCTCCTTGGAGCTTCACCCGCTTTCCCCCAATATCGAATTCCATTGTCTGGGTCTTCGAGTTTGTTTGAGTAGTTCCCAAGGTTTCCAACCATTTTAATCCCAAGATAATGTCGGAACTTCCTAGTCTCAAAGGCAAGAACTCCTTGATGATGTCGACCAGGAGAATGCCCTGACATATCCCCCTTCCTGCTTCACTGTCTTCGGTACCCATCCGTTCCCCGTAGGGTTCCGTGTCCTTGACTAGAAGTCCTAATCTGGTCGCCACTACGACCAGCGTAGTGGCGATGAAATTATGTATGGCTCCGGGATCAATCAGTGCTACAACTGTTTGCGCCATAACCACTCCTTGTAATTTCATCGTTTTAGGAGAGGAAAGACCAGACCTGTGTTTCACTTCTCATCATATTTATAACATGACCCCTTTGCTCGTTTGTCCGAGATCTGAGCTTCCGACAGTCGTCGTTCTCTAAAGGGTCGTCGAGTGTTGGTAACTGTGGTGTTGGTGGGATACGTCGGTTTTTCTCCAACACGAGGATTACTTTGTTTACCCGACCGGTACCCTAATGATCCGACTCCGCTGGGTCTATCCTCCTGGTTCTTCTCGTCAAATTGTTGGGCTAACTCCATGGCGTAGCCCAACTCCCTTGGAGTCCACATCCGTAACTCTTTCCTGATAGCAGGCTTTAGCACACTAAGAAAGGTCCCAATTGCAAATCGATCAGAAACGTCTTCTACGGGGCAATGAGCTCAATGAACCGGCGTACGTACTCTGCCACCATTCCCATCTGCTCCACCGTTACCCATTGCTCGTACATGTCGCCGTCTTAGGTGGGACAAAATTTTCTAAGAAATATCTCCTTCATATCACCCCAGTTCGTGATCGGACTCAGCACCGCCGCTTCAACCTTTTCGCCGCTTCAACCATGAGAGAGCAAAGTACCTCTCTGCCTGCAAAATCCACCCATCAGGGTCTTTTCCGTCGAAGGCTGGCATATCTATCTTGCGGTGGCGATATTCAAATTGTCCATTCCCTTGGTTTGTCCCGTCAAAAGATCCGAAGACCAACTCAGGTCCTTCTAAAACCGGGCCAGAACCAAATTCGGATCCACTGCGTCCATCTCGTGTAGGGTTTTTGTTTCAAGTGTTAGTTTGATGAGTACCCATACCTGAGTTAGGAGTGGTTGATCCCTTCCCACGATCGATCTTCTCCATCATCAGGTCTAACTTCTTCATCATTTCGTTTTGAAGAAGCCTCACATCTTCCACAACCCTAGCTTGTTGTTGGTTTACCAGTTTCTGATGTTGTTCATTAAGTACTTTTCCCAGGTTTTCTTCTATCGACTCTATCCGCTTGGCTGGAGCAGCCGCATTTTTCCCAGCACCGGCCATTGCTTTGATACCAGTTGGTAAGCACCTTGATTCTCACAATTACCAAACAATAGAACAGTAGAATGTATAAGGGAAACACTCAAAGATAGATAGTTCCAATCATTCGAGAGGATTGGGATCTCTAAGAATTCGATTCTTTAATATTCTTCTTTTCCCTTCTAGAACAAGCAAAATGGATATAAATACTAGAAAGGGTGCCACCTCACCAGACCAGACCAAAAAGGTGGTTTCCCACTGCTACACTGACCAACACAAAATGATGAGGGCACTACCTTAACAGCTAAACAAAATAATAAAAGACAAGCTTAAAAAGAAAATTGGACTTCATTTGAAAGGAATTACCGGGGTGCATCCTTCTTGGGCTTCTTGTTCTTCCTTTTGTAGACTAGAATGGTTTGGGGCTTATCAGGAAAATGCCTTACTAAGGAAAATGTTAAAAATACAATGCTATTAGAGAAAGAAATGGAAGTATTGTTATAGAATTTGCTTTGCAAAGAAGGTGTCTTATTTGTGTGGAGTTTCTGTCTTTCCTATTAATTAATGAGATTTAGACTTTATGTTTATCTTGCATTTGATGGTGCTTCTTGTAGAAAGTAGCAAATTAAGTCATCATGTTATTGATTTCTCATTGTAATAGGAAAAAATAAAAATAGGATATTATAATGAATAAATAAATAAAAAAAGGTACAATTAGTATTTCTTGTATTTAATGATTTCCCATGATTATACAGGAGTGTGCAGCGGCGTTTGTGTTTTTCAGGACACGATATGCAGCTATGGTGGCTTCAAAAACCATCCAATCATATGATCCAATGTTATGGGTCATAGACTTTGCTCCTGAACCACATGATGTTTACTGGGAAAACCTTTGTCTACCATATAGAATGCTTTGGATCCGTAAAACATCGGTATTTATAGGCACCATTATCTTCAGTGTGTGGTTTCTTTTGCCTACAACATTAGTTCAAGGTCTTGTTAATCTTGATCAACTCGAGGACACTTTTCCATTCCTCAGAGGGATATCACAAACGTGCGTAAGCTTCCATGAAACTTGGTTGAAAACACAAGGATTAATGCTAACATACTTTCATTATTTTCTGTATTATGGCATTCTACTTTCATTTCCTCTGTATTAGAGCATTGTACATTGAAAAATCTACCCAATTATAGAAATTGCATCCAAATACAATTTAATTTAATTGCTATAATTTTGTTATTTTTTCAAAGTACAATGTCATAATAACAAAAAAAAAATTGGAAGTACAATACTCTGGGTGGATTTTTTTTCACTATACAATGCTCTAATAAGGAAAGAATATACCGAGACTAATGAAATTACTATCTCTTGATTTTACCGGAAAAACAATTATGAGAATGCAATTATTATCGGGCCAATGCACTTCCTTTTAATTGTGTATTGTAGCATCCTGCATTTGTTTCTTTTTATTACAATATTTTTACTCTCAACTTTTTTCTCTTACTAAGGCATTGTACTTTGAAAAATCTATCAATTATTACTATATACTTTCCATTTTCAATGTATGAGGACATTATGCATCAAAATATCTACCCAAGTATAGCAATGACATCCAAATCAAATTAATTGTCATTGCTCTATTTAGATATGTTTTTCAATGCACAATATCCTAATAAGAAAAAAAATTGAATTGGGTAGATTTGTCAAAATGTAATGCTTTAATAAGGGAAACGTTGTAATTACAATGTTATTTTTAGAAAAGATGAAAGTAGGATGCTATAATGAACAAGTAAATGAATGTATATTTCTATTTCTTCTATTGATCCCAAAACACTAGTACAATAATACAAATTATTATCTAGCTAAATGGAAGAAATAGCAATGCAACTTTCATTTACTTGTGTATTATAGCATCATACTTTTATTTCTCTCTGTTACAACATTTGTATTTTCTATTAAGAAATTAGACTTCAAAAAATCTACTTAATTATAAAATGCACTTTCAATTTTGTTTTTCTTATTATGACGTTATACTCTGAAATACTACCCAATTATTGCATTTGAAATTTCTTTGTATTTCAATGACATTGCTATAAATGGGTAGTTATTTTTGAAGCATAATGTTGTAATTAAAAGCAATGAAAGTAGGATTCTCTAATAAAAGTATGTTGCTATTTTTTGCATTTAACCAAATAATATGTATTATATTATAGCCATGGTCGCCAAGAATAAAATATCCCCCCCCCCCTCCAAAGAAAATATAAATAAATAAATAAATAAAATAACCATATCTAGTTTGCGTTAAGATATAATTGATATTCCCAAGTTAGGTTTTCTTGTTCCAAAGATGAGTAAAGAGTTGAATTTTGAATTTGTCATGAAAACATATGTAGCATGATGCGAAACCGACTCATTCTCGATCCCTTGTCTTTGCAAGACATTAATGCCGTCCTTATCCTTATTGGAAATAGGGTTAAAGGCACGAAATAACGTCTTTCATATTTGTTTATTATAACATCTTACTTTCATTTCTTCATAGTACAACATTGTACTTTAAATATCTACCTAAATGACATCCAAATACAAAGCTATATTTTTCAAAGTATAATGTCCTAATAAGAAAAAAAAATTGAATGTTCGTTGCTATAATCGATATAATTTCAAAACAACAATGCCTTAACAAGAAAAAGTAAAAGTACAATGCAATGATAGAAAGTAATAGAAGTAGGATGTTATAATACATAGATAAATAAAAACACATTGTTATATCTTGCATTTAGGCCTTGAAGATGACCCTAAAAAGCTTGTTCAGTCCTATCCAGACGAGTCCCACATAATAAACACAACCTATTTGTTTTTATGGTGTAGTATAATTATAGAACAAAACATTCATAAAAAAAAGCTTTACGTATGCAATTAGTAAATATGTTTAGTTCTAATCGTAGGAAATAGCAACACACTTTACTTTTTTATTTTAACCAATATAATTTATGAATGTTGCAGGAAATATGCAAACATAGTTTCGGGATATCTACCAAGTCTTGTGCTGACTTGTTTTGTTTTAATCGTGCCACCGATAATGTTGATGTTTGCTACACTCGAAGGAACTGTCTCTCGTAGTTCAAGGAAACAGAGTGCTTGCTGCAAATGTATTATTTTCTTTTTTTGGAATATTTTCTTCTATAACCTTTTCACCGGTAGTTGGTGGGATCGCATGGGTAAACTTACTGTTACTGGTCTAAAAGACATGGCTACCCTTCTTGGCAATTTGATCCCCGGGCAGGTAAAATTTCTTTCTAATCTATTCTCTCCATCATATATTTACTGATTAGGGAAAATTGTAGGAAATAGCGGTTTACTTTACTCTTTTTACCAATATAGGCAATGTATTTTACGCTTTTCAGGTAATAGCAATGTACTTGCACCTCTTTACCCATAATCGTAACCTGCTTGCCATTTTTAGCAAGAGGTGATTTAAAACATATGATAGCTGTAATAGCAACGTAGCTACATTTCTCTACACATAATAGCAACGTACTTAAAATTCCTTACACATATAGCAAAGTACTTAATTACATTATGGATAATAGCAATATGTAACATGAAAATTGTAAGAAATTTACAAATTTTAAGTTATATAATTTTGTTATTGGTAAAGATATGGTTGTTAATGTTAAAAAAATGTAAGTACATTACTAATATCGATAAGAAACAAAGTACATTGCTCATTTTTGGTTGCGAGATTTAAGTATGTTGTTGTTTCCTGCATTTTTCCCTATTGATTGATGGGCCCTTTGAGTAGACTTCAAAAATGATTGTTGGAACAATTCACTATGTGTCTTCATTGATTACTTATAAAGATTCGTTTTTGCTTTAATTTCTTCCTTTTAGAACATTATACCTTGAGACGTTTCCCTGATTGAAATGATCTAACATATTGAGAATCTCGTTATCATTGGAAACTAATTATGTCTACAATTTGGAGCATTTTATATACAAAATGCATGTTTACACAAAAAAATTGTTGTAAGAGATTTATATGGACCTGCCACCAAGATATGAAAAGAATTTGGCAAAACATAAGTATGTAAGTTAAGAAAGGCCTTGTATGGACTATTACGACCCCCCATGGACATTGTTTGATAGATTTGCACGTAAATTCAAGAAATAGCAACGTACTAAATTATGTGTGTATTATAGCATCACAATTCCATTTATTTCTAATACAATATTTCATTTCAAATTTTTGCTTATTAAGTCGTACTTTGAAAAATCCTTCCAATTATAGCAATGAAGTATTTGGATGGCATTGCTATAATTGGGTAGATCCTTGAAAGTACAATTTTTTAATAGGAAGAAAATGAAAGTAGAATATAAATAATATACATGATCATGGGATGTAATGACTCATTCCATAGAATTATTTATTCCATTGACCTTTTCCATTCCATTTCACCTAGCGAAACAGCCCACCCTAAATCTCGAGGTTGATACTTGCTTTGTCTAGTTAGCTAACAAAATACAATCCCTTATCCAATTCTCTGTTTCATATATTTTTTTGCAGGCGCCCTTCTTTATGACATACATTATGACCACGGGATGGGCGAGTTTGGCATATGAATTGATGCAACCATTTGTCCTTATAATTAACTGGATCTATCAGATTGTTCTGTTGAGGAAAGAGGGCTATGGTGACCTCTACACTTTCCCTTACCACACTGAAGTTCCAAGGGCCCTTCTATTTGGACTCCTTGGATTCACATTCTGCATTTTGGCACCATTGATATTACCTTTCCTGCTTGTTTACTACTTCTTCGCGTATTTTGTCTACAGAAATCAGGTTCTCACTTCATTTCCACCTTAGAATAATCTAAACTATGGACTTTGGTGCTTATATTAGTTGACTTTGTGGGTATAGAACATATGGCCACTTACAGTGTGTGGTGAGCATTGGTGATCGAAAAAGATGTTTATGCCCTCCTCATCTTTTGCATATAGATGTGGATGAGGAGGGTATTTTTGTCTTTTGCATAGACCAAAGATTGAGAGCAAGTCTCAAGTCCTTGTCTCACCTTTTTAGGTGAGATAACAAATTACAATTTTTGTTTGACCCAAATAGTTTGGGGCAAGGAATCTCTCGTTTATAAAAAAAATGTGAATGACCTCATCATTTCCATTTAGATGAGAATGAGAAGGGCATTCACATATTTTGCACACATGAAAGATCGAGAGCAAGTCCCTGTCCCATCTTTTTAGGTTGGATAAAAATTACAATATTTGTCCCAATTACAACATCTCGTGCACATTAAACGTAATACAAGTTGTTCTTTTATGTCCTATAATTTGTGAAAAATGGGGTCTAAGGGTGGAGAGTAATTTGTTCAAACGCTAATCAACTCTTAAGATTTGATATAAACTCCAGTTCTATGTAGCATACTTATGAATCAACTCAAGAAGGATAGAGAAAACTATGACATTTTATTCTCTTTTGTCAAAAAATAGCAACATACTTTCATTTAATGAGAAAAACGACATTTTGTGGTCTAGATTAAGCCCAACTACCATAAAATATAGATTTGAAACTAATTGTTGTTAAGAAGGGTTAGAAAATAGGGCTAAATGCAAGAAACAGAAACATACTTTCATTGATTTGTTTATTATAGCATCCTATTTCATAGTTTTTTTTCTATTATATCACTGTAGTTTCAGTTTTTTCTCATTCAAGTGTTGTACTTTGAAAATCTAACCATTTATAGAATTAGACTTATAATATTTTTCTTATTAGGACATATTTTGAAAAAGCTACCCATCTATAGCAGTGAATATTGCTTTGTAATGGATGATGTTGCTATGACTGGGTAGATTTTTCAAAGGCCAATGTTGTAATCGGAAGAAAAGGAAATAGGATGCTATAATAAACAAATCAGTAAAAGTATGTTGCTATTTCTTGCATTTAACCCTAGTAAATATGGTAAATGTTTTTTAAATATGAAATGGGCAAACATGGTTTGCTTCAATGTTTGCTTAGTAGTCTTCATGGATCTTTAAGCAAGATGTACACACGTATGAAATAGGAAAACATAGTTTACCTTACAATTTTCTTTATATTCTTTGTGGACTTAGATTAGGATTAAATATCTAAATGCAAGAAATAGCAGCGTATTTTCATTGAATTGTTTATCATAGCATCCTACTATGGGTAAATGTTTTCCTATTACAACATCGTACTTTAATTTTAGTGATGCCATCCAAATTTAAATAAATTTTCATTTCTATATGGGTAATTTTTTTCAAATTATAATGTCCTAATCAAATGCTTTCATATCTAAAATTGGATATATTTTTCAATGTACAATGCCCTTATAAGAAGAAGCTGAAAGTACAAGGTTGTAATCGAAAGAAATGGAAGTAAGATGATACAATTAAAAAAAATAAATGCATTTGGCTCTTTAGATTAAACCTAACTACTAGTACTAGAATAGATAGGTTTGAAACTCATTGATCTTTAATTTCTACATGAAATGATGAATTTGATGTGTTGCAGCTCCTGAACGTCTATATCACAAGATACAATACGAATGGAAGTTATTGGCCAATTGCACATAATGCTGCAATCTTTTCTTTAATAGTGATGCAAGCAGTAGCTTCAATTATCTTTGGAATGAAAAACTTTGGCACTGCATCAACCCTTGCCTTTGTACTCATCATCTTCACTGCCCTTTTCAACTTGTATTGTCGCCATAAGTTTTTGCCACTTTTCAACAACAAAGCCGTACAGGTAGTGGGGCAAATCGGTCTTTTTTCCCTCTCCCTCTCATTCTCCTGAATGTGTGGTTTTTACATTACATGTGTAGGATCTTATTGAGATGGATCGACATGATGAGCATTCTGGAAAGATTGATGAGATTCTTCCACGGTTGCTATCATCATATTATCAGTTTGGAGGGTTTCATGGCAATCATCCAACTGATCTTCTTGCAGCCGAGTACAAAACATTCAACTCAGCCGATGCTGGTCACAAGATGTAAACAAACAATGTCATTCCAGCTTTGGACATTAGCTCAAATTCATCATATTATTGTAAACAACAATAAAACATAAATTTCCTTGGGATTCATTCAGATTGTGTATAGATATATAGATATATAAACATATTCAAGGATTTGTTTGACTTCACTCGGTTATCAAAATTATTTTCGAGCTGTGTTACTTGTATATATCAGCAATGGATTCCATTCGGTGCCAAAAAAAAAAGAGTGCCTAATTTTAGTATCATGATTATTCAAAAAATTAGTGATGGAAATGGGTAACCAGTATGTAGGTTGTCTGGGATTAATATGCGGAAGTTAGAGATTCATTCAATGATATGAAAGTAAGTGCTGGAAAAAAACTGGTGGAAGAAATAATGAAAATGAACCCCAAAAAGGAACTAAGGTTTCTCACTTAGAACGAAAATACAAGATAAAAGAACCACTGCTGTCTCTAATAAAAGGAAAGAGGAACGCTCCAAATCCAAACCTCGTAAAAAGGAATGAAGATTTTAGAAAATAGAGATTAGCTCTATTTATTTTCATACTCATCAAAAACTACGATTCTACAATTCTAAAGACAACTAAATTAAGGATTTGTTCTAGTAGAACATAATTTTTAACTTTTAAGCAACAACTAAATTATGTATGGAACTTTAGCATCATTATCCAATACAAGTAAACGATTAAGCATGTTTGAGGGCCTCTCGTGTGACATAACCATACAGATTTCTTTGGAAAATAAAAGAACTCCTAAATTTGAAGATCAAATCTCAAGTGAGACATTCGGGAGTAAGCGGTCATTTTTCAAAAACTGTTATTTTCTTTAAAATGCTCATTTATAATAGTTAGTTTACTCATTATCCCTTTTTTTAAATACAATAAATGGGACATTAAAGTTTTCAAAACGAACATTTAACATTTTTCCATTTCATGTATATGTAAAACTAATAGTTTTTTTCTTTTTGGAACAATGAGGGTTGTCTAAAAATAAAATAAAATTAAAAATAAGTTAATATTAAATCATTTAAGATAATTTACAACTCTTGGAATGTTAAAAAAGTAAACAGGTTATAACTCAATACAATCTATAAGATAATTATGTCATTAAACTAATTATTCAAGAACTTGTTTGTACATAGCATAAAATCAAAGTCAAAATTGAATTTTACCATGTCTTAGGTACTAATTATTGAATTCTAGTAATTTAAGTCATTAAACTAATTTAGCAATTTTTGAAATTAGAAGGAAATATATTATTAATAAAATTGATATCCATTATTATAGTTATCGCACATCAATATTATGTGGAATTTAATAAAATTGGAAAAAACCATAAAATGCCATGTGGAAAAAAAATAATTTAAATTTAACCACAAAATGATATGTGATAAAATGAATGTGAGGGATGTTGATCGGTTCCTGCCAGTCAATGGATTGATGGTTGGGTATCTTTAGGCTCTTGTGGTGTTGGTCGTGAGTCTTCAGGCCATTTTTGGGATGACGGCAAGATCGACTTAGTACCGTGAGCTTATCGTTTAGTGGTTAACAGGTGTCATGATGCACCATGAACTAGTGGTTGTATGATTCATATGGGTGGGACCCGATAGACTTTTGGTTGAGACTCTTAGGTCTTGGATCGTTAGTTTTCTTGGCATATTTGGGTGTTAGTGCATTGTGGGAGTTTGAAGACTCAGTGACGAGCTAGTTTGGATCATCTGGGCAGTTAAAGGTTGTCGGGAGTAATACTTGTGCATTAGAAGTCTCTTGCAGAGTATTTGCATTATGGACCACGTTTGCTTCCGGGCTGTTTATTTGGAGTTTGGTTACCAATGTTGGGTATCGGTTATGGAATCTCAAGTCATGAAGTTCATTATGAATGTCTTGAGTGATTTGACAGGTGGAGGTACACCTGAGCTGATAAGGGATTTGGATACACGGTGAGAATTCTTGGATTGACCATCCTTATGCTCGTGGGATCAGGAGGTTGGTGCTGACTTATCAGGAAATCAAGTGCGTATTTAAGGTTGTTGGGCACAATCTCCCGATTGGGATTGAGAGAAATTCATGATCGGTATATTTTGAGTATTCCTTCATCATGGTTGGGTGGTGTTCCTAGTCAGGGACTAGGGGCGGATACGATGAATGAATTATTAGCAATCTTAGGGAATAATTTCTAGGGTTTAAATTGATGGGTTCCAATTTTCGAGAAATTTCCTGCTTTGAGTGTTGTCGCTGTGATTTGGGGTCTTCCAGTTAGGAAGAGTAAGGTAGTTGTTTCAGTTCTTAGGCAGAGCAGTTTGGTTTCTTTCATTAGTTGATGGAAGAGTGTTAAGGTTCATTCTTTCGGAGGGATAAGTGATTCCTACTAAGATGGGGTTTGGATGGTAGGGTTGGGAGGCGGTCCTCGGTATGGGATGAATCTTTAGTCTAAAATAGAATTCAAGAATTTTGGGCAAGATCGACTAGGGTGGAAAAGGAAGTAGTAAGGAATGATTTCGAGGAAGAAATCCAGTTTAAATGGGGGAGAATTGTAACATCCTGTTTCGAGAAGTTCTTATTTCAGGGTTTTGGACAGTAAATGGATCAAGTGAAGGCCTTGGCACTTCAAGGAATAGGGTTTAGACCCCATTGGATGTGGATAATATTGGTTATGTGATCCCAACTCTTAGTTTCTGTTTTGGAGTCAAATGGATAAAATGTGAAAAATGATGTTTCAGACTTCTTTCTTGAATTAAGAGTTTTAGTTCGGTATGTGTTGAATAAAAAGTAATTAGAAAGGATTGCAGGGCTCTTCAATACCTTTTCGTGCATATAAAGAACGCCGAAAACGGATTTGAAATGAAGAAGTTATGGTTGTTTGAAGTTAAGATGGAAAAGGAAGTCTGGCAGTACGTTGGGCGTACACTGGGTAGTACATTGGGCGTACTAAGCTGAAGGGACGCATTTTTAGGGTGTTACGCTGGGCGTACCGCCGCAGCGTTAAAACCCTAATTTCATAGTTTTGATCCTTATTTAAGGTCTCTAACCCCTTGGGGATCCTTCCTATCACGAGCCTCTACTCTCTTGAGCCTCTAACTCAAAACCCTAGCCTCCTTTCACTTATTTTGAGCCTTGGAATCATTTATGAGCTTAACGCTCCATTAGAAGGTGCGATATTGAAGAACAAGGTAGTGGAAAAGTGGGTAGAAGAATGAATCAAGCATAGATCTAGCAAGATTACATCATTTCTGGACATTTGTGAGTAAAAAGCTTCAAACTTGCTCATTAGTTTCATAGATCTTGTTAATTTTCATATTTGTCACTTTTTGGTCACTTTAGTGCCTAGAGTTTAGATCTTGAAAGTTTGTGACCTTATTATGGATAAAGTTGGAAAGTTTATCCATCTAAACATCATATTGATTTAGATCTGAAGGTTGGAGACTTGGACTTAATGGATTAAGTTGAGAAAAATGTATTTTTGTTCCCTTTGAGACTTAAAGACTAGATATTGGTTGTTTGGACCATCCTAATGGATAAAGTTGGAAAATTTATCCATTATGGAGCTATTAGGAACCATAAAAATGTGATCTTGGTCCTTCTATCTCTTCCATGCAAGAGTTATTATGTTTTAGTGGAATATTAAGTGAGGGTTTTAGCTTTTGGACTTTTTCTAGCCATGGAAAGTCATAAAGGTGAAAACTTTATGACTTAAGACAATGTTTTGATGCTAGATTTGAGTTTGGATGGAAAGTCCTTGAGAATTAAGCATTTAATGAGGAGAGTGCAATCATGACGAAGTACATTGGGCGTACCAAAGGGTACGCTGCGCGTATTGGCTTAGAGTCACGTGTTTTTGGCTAAGTCTCGATTACACTCAACGTAGAGACCGAGTATGCTGGGCGTATTCAGTCAGTTTAACCATCTTTGACTTTTTGTCTTGCTGACTTTGACATTTGACCAAGAGTTTGACCAAGTTTGACTTAGGGGCATTTTGGGTAATTTGAGTGGTAGATTGAGTTTAGGTCACTGTTATTTGTATATGTGACCGGTAAAGGCAGCTCTTGGAGCAACGTTCTTTTCTGCTATCTGTTCAGGTTGTGAGGTGAGTTATCCCCATTATACTTATGGGTTGAAGGCATTAATGCCGGCCTAGTAGATTGGGCAGGCACCTTAGGGTGATGAGAAACTCTTCGAGGTTGTAATGGTCGAATTCGAGGTGGTTGGCTCGTAAGGATAATCTCGACGTGTTCTGAGTCATCAACGATTTCTCCATGTTTCAAATTGAGGGTTGAAAATTTCGAAGTTATGAGTTGTGCGAGAGGAAGATCAGTCGTGAGATTCTAAGAGAGTGCATTGCGGTATCTGAGCATGATGTCGTGAGTAGGAGATCAATGGTTGAGGCAAGACATCATGAGATTCTGTGATGGTATGTCGAGGTATCCGGGTATGATGTCCTAAATTTCGGATTATTTCGAGACTTGAGTTATGAAATGACGAGTGGTGTATCAAGTGTCTATGGTTCCGGTGGGGCCCCTTCAACTAATTGAATCAAACGGGATTATCTGAGAATGTGAATTGCAGCGAGAAAAATGGGTTTTGTCATGGCGGTGGTCGTTAGGAGTAGTGATACTTAGCCTGGATGGGTGTGTGTACCTATCTATGTTGGGCCGCGAAGCGTGAGTAGTGGATGTAGTGAGGTGATGACACGAGGATGAGATTGTGGGGTGATAAGAGAGTGTTGCGATACTGCGGAGAGCCGTAGTACTCACCAGTCATCGAGAGAGTGTTGTGATACTGCGGGGAGTCGTAGTATTCACGAGTCAGTGAGAAAGTGTCATAGGCCTGCGGGAAGCCGTAGCCTTCACGGGATAGTGAGAGGGAATCTTATGATACTACGGGGAGCCGTATTATTCGCTAGTCAGAGCATGACGTAGAAGAGTTTTTAGGCTTGGGTAGCCTTATTCTTTGAATTTTAGGGGAACCTGGAGGTCGGACCAGGGGCGAGACTGGGGTCTCCTTAATGATCAGGAATCGTTATATTTTGAGTTAAGGTGTGGTTATCACAATCAGAAGGAATTGGAGAAGTGATGTACGCGTGAGTTGCGGGTCATGGTTCGTGAGTTGAGTGCTTCATTGGGATGAGTGGCTCC